TGTATTATTTTAGGAGTAGAAATGCTCATTCCATTGGCAAATCGTCTTATTTACCTACTAAAATTAAGGGTAAATGCACTTATTTTAAGAAATTTGGTACTTATTTCTAGATGGTTTTTGCAGTGCAGTGGATCGTTTTTTTAACTTTTTGGAATGAGCAGGGGGATTTTATTTGCAATGCACATATAAATTCAGCAGGACTATTCAAAGAAAACATAAAAGCAATAAAGGTCCTCATGAAAATCTAGGATGTGTTCAGTGATTGAAAACAGGCTGCTGTCGTTTATAAATCCTGCAAAGTCGTCGTCTGGATGTAATCAGCTGGTTTCCTCAGATAGAAAACATTAAACCAATCTGATTGAATCATTTCTGTAAACAGCCGTCTCAGACCGCTGCAGTGAATCAGAGCTTTAGAAATAAACCAAACTGAATTCAATCAGTTGTTTATGATTTAAAAAAGCTTCCAGACGAGTCTGAAAATCACAGATTTAGCAGTAAAGTTTGTAACAATGGTGGTGACCCATAAATAAGGAAACCAGATGAAAACACATCTAACATCTTCATCTCCAGCTGATTTCCAAATTCATTTCTAGTTTTTACTCGACCTCTAATGTTTGTATTTACAACCAGGGGCGGAGCTAGATGGGGGTAGCCATGGCCACCTTCAGCCAATTATTGGCCACCCCTACCATTTTTACCCCTCTAATACAGACAGTGGAAGCAGTAATACTCTCTAGCGTCAATTAGACTGAAATCAGAGATAACTATTTTAATAAAAACGTAATAAATAATCAATTTATGTAGATATTAGTACTTGTAAATATAAAATTTATGCAGAATGATGATTGATAAAAGTAGGTAAGTACACTGGAAAAAATCGAAATCTAGATAAGTCATTTTTTCTTAAAATAAGTACATTTGTTCTTGAATTGAGGAGGTAAAAGAGACATTTTGCCAATGGAACAAGACAGTTTACACTTAAAATAAGAAAACACAATTGTATT